CATGCTGTCAGCTTTTTCCCACAGGGAACTGAAGCCAAAGATTGAATGACTACTCAGAAATCTGACCTTATAGAACACCAATAAAATGTAATAATGAGGGTTTTGAAGGGTTAAAGTGGTTAACATATTCTAAAGTAGCATACACTCGAGATCTTGTGCTGTGGGCCCTTCTTTTTGCCGCTCTCCTCGTCCTCAGCAGTACATTGTTCTGCGTCCCGCCTATTCTGTAGTCTGCTACTCTAAACTACAATTGACTGTAGGTTAATACACTATGAATACACCATACAGCCCCACACAACGTGTGCTTGTCTTATATTGTACTTCATACATATATATGTAAAAATATGACACAGTATTATTCATGTGTTAATAAGCCCACTTTCCAAATCAATTCAGTCAATCAAAGTTGAGAACATTTTCTAACAAATATGAGTTGATAAAAAAAGGCCCAATAACTTATTTCCATAACCAGCTTGAAATATACCCTTCCTATTTCCCCTTATTATAATCAATCTGAGGCGTCTGATTTAAGGGAGGAGCTGCAACACTGTTAGTAACTAAATAAATGAAACCCTCTGGAGAGCTGGGATGGAGGCAGTTTGTTTCTTAAAGCATATTCAACTATCAAGCATCATTTAGCTACATTTGATCGATTTTGCTGACTTAGAACTGAACTTATAATTTTCCTCACCTCTGGTGAGGGGCCCAGCACTGCATGTTTTCTGTATGTAGCCATCTTATTGTTATTACTTTTCTCTGATACTTAGATTAGGCTGCAGATTACATTTTTGAATAAACGTTCACAACCCCGGTTCCCAACTTTATATTCTTCTAAACTAATGAGCTATCTTAACCTTAGCAAAGGCATACAGCTTCGTTTCAATAAGTCACTCACCCAGCTAACAATGACGTCAACACACCTGCAGAGTTAGCTTAGCTTAGTAAGACTAATACTGTAATATTCTAATACGTTTCTTTGGTATATCTATTTTTGAATAAACTCTAGTTTCATGAAAGCTACATTAACAAACTAAATGAAAACACATATTACATTACACGTCACTTGTTAGACGCTTTTATCCAAAGTATTCAATAATGTGGGCAATCCCCACAGGAACAATTTGGGGTGAAGTGTCTTGTCCAAGGACACAGCGAAATGTTTGACTGCAGCGGGATTTCGAACCAGTGCCCCCGTGATTAGAAGATCAGCGCACTAACCACTGAGCCACAACCTCCCTTACGACCTTTATGGCTTACCTACAGCTTTATGCATCCACTGCTGTTAGCTTAGCAACAGTTTAGCTTTGCTTGGCTCTGAAGCCCCCCCTGCTGATCAACCCCCCTGACATCAAATAGTCACTGTCCAGTAATTAACTAATGAATACAAATGAATAAACAAATAGCCTGTGTTTGACTATCTGAAGACAAATGGTTAATACTTTAAGGAAAATGCTACGAACAAAGCGCCCAACTTATGTTTCAGAGGTTTGATCAAATATGACACTGAATTTGGCACGCACAAACAACACGCCAAGTGAAGGCCACATTTTCCATTTATTTTCTGGAATGAATTTCAGTTTAGAAAAAAACGTGTAAAAGTTTTATTCTTAAAGCAGCAAGCTAAAAATTAAAACATAGGATATCTCCCGATTTACAACACTAATCTGCTACATAACATGTCAAATGTGCTATTAAATTACTTTACCAACAGATATCATATAATTATGGAAAATGATTGTTCTGATTCTTCTGGTGAATTGCAGGCTTCTTATTTTCAAAACAAAGGCAGAGGCTGAGGCAGCAGCTGTCACTCAGGCTGTGTGACCCCCCGTCCCATCAGCAGGGGCCCCTCCTGTCGTCTTCACTGCTCCTCTGGCAGAGACAGCGCTGAAGCACCTTGTGTCTGCATTAAGCTTTGAAAATCAAAAGGCAGGTGTTGATTCTGAACCATCTCAGTTTCAGGCCAGTCCAGATCATTATCCTCGTCATCGTCACCAAAGAGAGGGGCAGGGGGGGGGTGCCCCTTCAAAGCTCTGGACACAAAGAGATGATAACATAAATATCGTTACCCTCAGGTAATGATCTTTTAAAGCAGTATGGTGTAGTGATAAAACATCAATGACAAGGGGACCTGCACATCCTTCCTCACCATCTCATCCTCCTCTTCCTCCTTGCTGGGTGCTGCAGGGGGTTTGGCAGGAGTGGTGATCTGGAAAAATGGTTCTTCCTCCATTTTCCTCTCCCATTCCCTCAGTCAGACTGAGAGAATAGCAGAAAAGCGGGTGGAGGGCGGGCGGGGAGGAACATCAAGACCAGTGAGGAGAAAAGAAAATGGGGATGAAGCAAGCAAGAAACAACAGGCGGGACAAGCAGTTAGTTTGGAAGGAATCAGGCATACATTGACAGGCAGGGCGGCACAAACATGTTCCACATGTTGTCAAGTTCAATTAGATCTGGTCTATTTGTCGTATTGGCCCTCAAAACTGCGTTCTTGTTGATGCTTGGAAGATACATCGCGAATAAAACAAACGACATATAGCATTGTGTTGGGTTCCAAAGTGGAGCAAATGTTTGTTAGATGTATTCTCAAAGGTTTCAGCTCACCTCAGAATTGTTCGAATAGTTTTCAAATATTGCGACGGAGGTTTAGACTACAGTTTGCAAAGAAACCAGTTTCCAAATGTGTTGTTGCATTCAATAATATCCTGATAAACAAGAATCATGAGCCAAATAACCCAAAGACATATGATACCCTATAGTATAGGCACCTCTGTGAATATAAGCAATATTAATATGTACATTATACAACAAGTTGGGCAAATTCTTAGAATGACAGTATCTGTCAATATTTGTGTCTCAGCCTAACAACGTTTGTATACTGTACTATACATATACATATTTCACTTTGCATTGAAACATAATGTCCAGGACTGTCTACTACCCTCACTGTGCCTCAAGTAGTCGAATGAACAAGATGCATTCAACAACTGATTTGCATCAACGCCAAAAACGATTTACACTGAGCTTCACAACAAGCCGTGCAATAAATGTGCCTCCTACATTACTGACATATTCAGACAAGCAGTCAGTATCTCCATGTCAGGTCTGTATTGTCAATTAAACCTAGAACCAAATCAATGATCATGACAAAATGTGATCCCATCATTAATGAAACCTTAAGAGACATAGCGGATCATTTCTTATGTTCCTCCTGCTGTATGATGTTCTTTCTACAGGCATCTCAACCATGTGTTGCATTCAACAATACATTCCTTAGTTTGATTTGAAATGTGTTATCCTAAGAAAAGTCTACATCGGATTCATGACAGATCTGTTCCTACCTGTGCTCTTATGATGAACCCCTTTGCTCTGGTAAATGAAGGCACGTGTCAGTTGATTCTTATTAGCGGGTAAGCCCCACCAGTCACCAATAAAGAGCATGAGACTGCAGTTAAGATAATTAAGTCAAATTCTGAGAGGTAGGAGCATCGAACTGCAAAAGAAAAAAAGACTCCAATATCTCAGAAGTAGAGTAACTTCTGCATTAAGTCCATGCCAAACTAACTTTATATATCGTAGTGTGGATATAAAATAACACAAATAAGATACATACATTATGCTTTGGATAGTTTCTTCTTCAATATCAAACCATACACTTGTGTTTACAAGAAGTAAAGAAAACATGAATTGAAAATATTCTCAGCCGTTCCAAATCTGTCAGTCACGCTTGATAT